GCAACGTAGCAATGGCAACGGTGGTATTTAAGGCCGTGTCTGGCAAAAGTTAACTAAATAGCAGCCTAGGCATAGTTAAGTCTGATTTGTTGTGTCACTGTGTTGACACCTATAATTTGTTGTCGCTGATTGTTACGTAGTATTTCTAGACACAAGTATGTATGTGTGTACATTTAGCAAATTGAAATTGCACATAACAACAGCAACATAATATTAAACTTTATTTGTCTTATTTTCTTATTTAGCTCATTCATGAACTCAAATGTTGATGTTGGCAAAAGTTGACATGACTTCATTTAGTTTATTCTAAACTAATCAATCTAAGTGATAAGTGAAAATTTGGATTTGCTTGCGAAATAATATTTTATGTCAATGATAAACGAGAAATTTGCGAAAGTGATGCAAATATGGTGCGCAATAGCATATATTCTATAATTATAATAAAATGCAGAAATCTTATTGGATGCTTGACTCGATTATTTTTTGCAACGAAAGGAAAAACATATCCCAATAAGTCCTTAAATATTTCTTAAGAACACCACAAGATTCTGAAAAAATTTCAAAAGGTAAAAAGAGTTCTGAAAAAAGTCCGAAGTGTCTCAAAATAATCCCGAAAGATCGTGAAAATATTCCAGAATGTCGCGGCGGTCTCCAAACAAGTACTGAAAATCTCACATAAATCCTAAAAGTTCCCAAATTTTTCGCAAAACCATTAAATGATTCCAAACCAGTCCCGAAATATTAATAAAAACTCCAAAAATGTGCGGAAAATCTGTAAAAACTCCCGGAAAGTACCGAAATTTTCCGAAAAATATATTACAAAATTGATAAAAATATCGATAACAAAATCGATAAAAATGTCGATAACAAAATCGATAAAAATATAAAAATATCAATAAATAATCCATAAAAATATCTTGCGTTAATATATTCCTATCACAGCCTATTCTTGGAAACAGCCACTCTAACCAATCTAAACTAATCTTACGATAAACGCTATCGTTATAGATCAAAGTTGAAACGAATTTTGACTTAAATCGTTTTCACTAGGCTAAAAACAAATTTAAATAGCATCCTCTATAAGAATATAAGCTTATCATAATGAGACAGCCTCTCTTATTAAAAATATATCTAACAGCCGCACTCAGAGTCGTTTAATGATTATATAAGGTATCCCTCAGTAACGATTTGAAAAAATTCCCTCTCAGAGTCAGTTAATGATTCGTTAACGGCATTCAATGAACATTAAAGTTAACTAAACAAAACCCTTTACTTAACTTTTTAACGAAATATTTTGAAATTTTTTGTTTGTTTTCAATAAATTTCAATTTCGATAACGTTGCTGTAATAGTAGTGAGCAGAGCACTTTCGTGTTATTCAGGAGATCCGAATTCAATCCTCGGCAAGGAATTCTTTTTAATAGAATTTTTTTTAAGTTTTATTGCCGAAAAATTCGTTTTTTTTTATTTATTTAACGTTTGGATTTTTTTGATTCATCATTTTTCTTTTACTGTCAGCTTCTCAAATTTTTAGTTTTTCCTGTTTTAAAAAGATATTTTTTTCATTTCGTTTAGTTTTTAGAAAACTTATTGCTAAACGATAAATATAATAACACATCTTTCAATTACTCATACGAAATACAGAAAAGAGCTTTCAAGATAGTTGCCGAAATATAAAGACTTTTGTCTCTCGAAAGACTGAGGTGAGTTGAAAGACAGATGCCAGAATTGGCCTGTTATTGGTCTTGTTTGTCTTTTAGCAAACGGTTTAATTCAATTTAAAAAAATTGCTTTCCTTTCTAAAGCAATAAAATCCATAAATCAAAAGAAAATTAGATCAAAAAAGCAAAAAAAAAATCAATAAAGATAGTTTATAAAAATTAAGCAAGAAAAAAAGGAAAAAGAAAATTTTCCTGCCCTAGGACTCGAACTCGGATCTCTTGAATGGCACGCCAGTGCTCTGCTCACTGTGTGAGCCAGTGCGCGCAAAATATATAAATACTTATTTTTATATTTTATTTGAATCTGAAAGAAAAAGTGAGTGATGCCACAAAAATGAAGGGCCGCAACTGGGGCCAAACTTAAATATTTTATTTCATAATTTTTAACTCTGAGAGGAAACATTGGGCACGTTCAGAAGGCGCAACAGCTCAGTAACTGTTGCGATTTTACCTTCTGAACGCGTTGTTGTGTACTTCTGATCAACTGAACAGTTGCGTGTTAGATGATCGTAATATTTTTCTGATCATTTGAGACAACATGTTGCTGTGTACCTTTGAGAGTTGAATTTGACAGTCAATGCATCAAGCCGTTCAGAAGACGCATAACGATAATTTTTTTACAAACGGTTGCACTCAACTGCTGCGTCTTCTGAACCTACCCATTAATTAACAGATTTAACGATCATTAGTTAAGTGCCCGTTAGAGCTAATTTAAAGAACGTTTCTGAGTGCGGCTGTAAGAGACTTTTCTGCCTAAAAATTTTCATCACGCACTCTGCGCTGCACTCTGAAATAATCTGCAGGAATTGTTTACCTAGTGTCTTTGGGCTCATGCTAGCGAGGCCTGGCCACTCGCTCAGAAAGTGTTCAACTGTCTCTTTTCAGCCCAGTTCATCGCAACTGCGATAGAATCTATTGAAGGGTCAGCCAATCTTTTCGGAATGTACCCCAATGAGCCAGTACCCTCCCTGTGCAGGCTGTCATAAGTTTATAGGTATTTTGTTTGGTGATTCCTAAACGAGCACTGGTTTTATGTGATTCGTAGGATACCCAGAGCTTCCAGGTAATCCCACACAATTCTGCATGGTTCTACTACTCCTTAGCCTTCGACCGATAAGTTTCGGCGAAATTGCAAACGTTTCGGCTTGGAAACCATGCAAGTGTCTAGTCGGTGAAAGCATACCTTTAGGTTATATTTTTCAAAAGAAATCTTCTGCACCAACCCCGCTTACCAACTTTGCCCATCCATAAAAATAGTTAAGCCCTCCAAAAACTGGATCCTTCCTTGAGTCCAGTCACTGCGGCGTGGGAGTTTCGTATGGGATTTGTGGTTAATTCAGGTCTTTGACAAGATAAAGACAGTGGGGAGCTTTTCACTTTCAGTCGAACGGTCTTTCCTGTCACAGCCGCAAGGCACACAGTCCGATGGCGCTGTTAGCAACTGGGCTTTCCATAAAAAATATCTAATAAGAGAGTATGGGTCAGTCTACAACTGTGTACAACCAGTACATAATTCGTAGCTTTATACCCCATCTATTGCCGAACATTCACTTGAATGCATAGAAAGACACCAAGATCTTCTTTTCACGCTTTTCAACGTTCCAATTAAATTTGGGGTCCCGAACAAATAACTCCAAGGTATTTAACATTATTTTTCAGATATAGTTCTGTTTCTCAAAACCTTACTTTAGTAAAATTAGGTAACTTTGTTTTAATTATGAAAAGCATAAGGTAAGTTTTCTCAGGGTTTACGCTAAGAGAACAATTTATAGCCTAGAAATCTACCGTCTTTAGGGCACCTTCCATAATTCCGCTTATGGCGGAAAGAAACTGACTTGATGCCTGTATTGTTACATCCTCGACATATGCCACTACCTGTATGTTCTGAGAGTTTAGCTTTACCAGTATATAACGGTGATAGCACTCGACCCTGCGGGGTGGCTCTCACTGCTTAAACGGCCCTGCTGTGGTAACACAATTCGGCGTGAATTACTCTGTTCTTTAGCAGTTATAAATCCCTGCTTCCATAAGTGCCTCATGTATGCAATCTACATTGACATTATAAAAGGGACTCTAGGTGTCGAAAAGTACCCATAAAAATCCAGAACGATACCCGAAAATCCCGAGGAAATCTCGAAGATTCTGGAAAGAAATACCGAAATATAAGATACGGAGTACCTGGAAAAAAATTCAAAAAATCCTGAACGGTACTAAAAATGCAAAGAAAATCTCTTAAAGAATCGAAAGCAATACCACAATATGAAGCACGAAAAAAGCGCGTAAGCTACAAAATAAATAGTGAACGATACCGAAAAACACCTCGGAAAATTCTAAAATAAGTAGGAGTTTCAAAAAGCCTCTGCTCAATATAATTATTTAATTATTTTTGTTATAATTAATAATGGAGTTTATTATGAGAAGATAAGAAGTAATTGTTAGTCAGGCGGTAGTCAAATGATCCTTCAAGGCCAAATCCTCAGTGAGCCTAAAGTGCATAGAGAAGCTTGCATCTCTGGATGCGAGGGCACATTGGCTGCTGTCTCGACCTCCATTGGACCTGAGCTCTTCTATTCACTAGGTCTCGCACTATAAAGCTAACGCCCAGAAAGAAAAACACCAAACTAAGGGATTATCACTGGCATAAAACCACGAGAATTCGTCTATCTAAACGCTTTTTAGGAGAGTACAATATGAAAAAATAAAAGTTACTAAGAATTATTACAGGTTTTTTGGCGGTCAATTGTAGGCTAAGTGTTCATTTATATAATCCAGACATCTGGTCAAGCGACCTACATATTGCTCTTCTGTAACTCTGCCAAGGAGACAACATTGCACCTGCTTCTGGAGTGTGAGGCCGATTCTTGTACATAGAAGCGAGAGGAGGACCTATTCTGAAACTTGTAGAGTCTGTAGGGCTAGCTGAGGTGTTGTGATGACCTAAGGGCACAAGAGACTTACTGGTCCCAGTGCTTTATCTATCTATCCATATGTAAGTAAGAGGCTGCCACAAGAAAAACTACGTAAGAAATTTTACCCTACCTGTCACATAAATATTTAATATATCCTATAATTATTAAAAGATCAAATTCCTGTCTTCATGATTTAAATAAATATGTTATGTTGTTACTCTGCAATAAATTTGGTTTAAATTTGAAAAGTTCTTAGCAGTGGTTTTTTATTATTTATAAATTTAACGAAAGTAGTGAACATTTTTCGATCACAAAGAAATAACGTAAATACATAGAACATACATTTTTTGGCAACACTTCAATAAACTTACCACATGTGCCTGAGCGCACTCGTCGATATAATGTGTTGTGATTATCACAGTTGTATTCCCATTTTTTGTTATGTCAACCAAATGATCCCAGATGCTGCAAGCCACAAGACATAGAGAAACAAGGGAAAAACGAGAAACGAAACATAGTACATGAATAACATGCAGCACAAATATTTGTCCTTATATGCACACTCACCTCTGCCGCAATACCGGATCCACACCCGCTGTCGGCTCGTCAAGTATCAACAATTCCGGTTCGTGCAACAATGCCACAGCCAAACTCATGCGACGCTGTTGGCCACCACTAAGATTTTTCACCTGTCGCGAGCCATTTGGCAGATTCAGAAATTTCAGCAAAAACTCGGTGCGGTCATCGATTTCGTTGCGGGGCATGTCCGCAATTATGCCGAAGTAGATTAGCGTTTCGCGCAAAGTGAACTCGCCATAGAGTGCAACTTCCTGTGGGAGAGTGAAAAGAGAAAAAAATAAAATGGGTTAAAAAAAAAACTGGTTCAAAAATGTCAAGGATAGGAGATTGCGAAAATGACAAAGTAAGCGTAAATTCAAAAAAAAAAGGAAAGTGAAAAATTAGAAAATTGAAAAAGTAAAGGAAATTTAAAATGGAAGCGATGTAAGGAATTGTGTAAAGCAGTGAAGCGTGTATTTGAATGCGAGAGGGTGGTGAGGAAGAGGAAATGATGCGTTGAAATTAAAGGCAAATGGGAAAGCAAAATCTGATGGTAATAAAACATGAATATCAATTGCTTTGTTCAACACTGGGGGGTTAAATGTTATAAATTAAAGTTTAAAATATCGCCTGCGTGCCGCCCATTACGGATACGCCCAAATTGTGTTAGTGTGTTTGTCTAAAGCATCTTCGTATGCAAATGTGTACATGAAAAGAGTTTAAAAGGAGAAAATTAAAATATCCTTTTTATGAAGTGGTTATATAGAGCTGCATACTCGTAAGTTAGAAAAGTGCAGGTAAGTTGGCTATTGGTACTCTTTTAAGTTATTAAAATAAAAAAAAAGCCCGGTTGGTCACATATATTTCCAAAGATGGTATATCCAATATGCTTCCTGTAATACGCACACGAAATGTCAGCCCGAACTAATAGCAATATGGCTGTAAGCCAGCACAACCTCTAATCTGTGGCTTATGGCTGAGTTGCTTATGCTCTCGACTGTTACGAAATCAAAATCATACTCAATGTATGCAAAAACTTCCAAGGCAAATTCTTTCTCTCTGAAGGCATTACTTATTATGGCAACCAGTTTTTGCAGAGTCAACACACAAAATATTCTTGCATTTGATGCAAAGTTAAAGGATTTGTTGAAAGCGACATCCCACGAATTCGAAACTCAACCAATCTCTACAGACATTTGACCATTAAGTACATCAGTACAGATTGACCGAGCTTTGCCCAGAATGCTTACAATTTTTAAAGTTTTCAAGATTTGGGTATCAAATAGTGGTCAATTGGATAGCTTTGATTTAAAAATATATTTTGATGTACCTCTTTCCATACAAATTATATCGATAAAAAAAATATTATCACTGCCTAGTACCTTAGTATTCAGTGAAACAAAATTGAAAAAAAAAACTTTGAAAAAATAATGTTAAAAAGCAAAAATATTTTTGACGAGTCAGTACCGCAGAATTCTACAAAAAGTAAGTTTTTAAAACAAATTGAAAATTTTTTTTACTTTTTTAATGTAATGAAACTAGTGAGATAAAAATTTGTATGTATTAAGAAAAAGTGGCAACCCCCATCAAAAGTATTTATTTACTCAAGTTCTCAAAAATACCTTTCATTTGATATCCATATTAACCCTCTAGTAGGCTGAACCGCCTCCAGACGGTCGTTAACTAAACAACTTTTTAGTGCACCTATAATAATTTTTTTCTATATTCGTAAGGCACGCTCTTTAGAAAAAAATCGTACCTTACGGCGAAGTAAATTTGAATCCGTTATGTTAATTCGTTATATTTTAATCGGCAGTTGAATTACAGATTGTGAAAGACACGGTTAAAGGTAATTATTTCTTGCTATTTAGTAATTTCGTAATTAAAGAAATTTTTTCTTTTGAAAATTTTTTTTTATATAAAAAAATTCGGTGGATTTCGTTGTTAAAGGTACCGTATTTTAATATAAGTTTTATAATTATGTCACCATTCGAAATGGAGAAAATTGTTTTCGAACACAGACCGTCTACAGACCGGCTTGCCGACATATAAAAACCCAGTTTGCATTTTTGACCGTCTGCTGACGGGATTGCCGGTTCGTAGGTCAACATTGTGTAAGAGAAAGCTGAAAATACGTCAAAGTATATCGGCGAGCCCGTCTCCAGATGGTCTTGGTTTTTCTCCCCTGTAGGAAAAAGTTACTGTTACAGATCGAAATGGACATAATTTTTGGATTTCTCATGCTAAAATCACCCATTCCTGAATTTTTCAACTCATAAGAAAATTGGCCTACTAGAGGTGTAATCTGTTTTAGTAAAATTTTGTAGAATCGGTGGCAACCTAATACCAATATCTTAAGGAAAGCACTTACTATATAGGCAAAGCCTTGTTTAGAAGCTTCCCCCGAAAAGTAATATTGTATCTTAATTTTCTTAACAAAAAATTTTAAATTATACGCTAGAAAATAGGTGGCAATCCTATTCAAAATTATTATTAAATTGGCGATTTTCAAAGTAGATTCGCATTTGATACGCATATTATGAAGTGTTATTCAATTCGTAAATAATTTCGAATGGGTGGCAACCTTACACGAATATTTTCGGAGATAACACCTATCTAGATAAACTTAAAAAGCAAAACATTATTAGAATACAAAATTTCAACCAATTCGTTAGAGCCGTTTCCGAGAAACCTTTGGATATATATACATACATGTATACAAGAATTGCCCATCTAAAGTTATAAGATTATAATAGAATTGAAGCTAGCATCCTTACCAACCTTATATATCAAGGCAAATGATTGTGTTATAAAAGCAAGTACTAGCGATGTTGCGAAACTATTTTTTCAAGATCGCCAACAAGGACTCAACCTCTTCTTTGAGTATAATACAGAAGGTACGATTCGAACCGGGGGTTTGGGGCTGTCAAAGGATTATAAAACATAACTTATGGCAACTTCATTCGTCACAATTCTAGCACCAAAGTAGTTCTAACAGTCTTCCCTCTCTTTGCTGTCAATGGAGATAAATCAGCTGATTTTCGCGATAATTAGTGTCTAAAATGTCGGAAAGAGTATTACTCCTTGCCTCCGTAAGCAACCATCAGCCCTGAAGCTCCTTGTTCCACGAAGGAGCAGGAGTGCGACTTAGAGGTGAACGAGGCGTTAAGTTTTATACAAACTAATAAGAAAATCATCCGATGCATTGACGACCGCGTTTTCATTGTCCTGAGTGGAACAAAGTCTAAATATTTCTGCAGTCAAATACTAAAGCTTCTTCTTAAAACACAGTGAGATCCCTTTTTAGAGTTTCGCATTGGAGCAGAATCTCCGCCAGTTGGAAATTCGAAACACCTGTGGTGCGAGAGCGCATCCTCTCTGAGGTACCCTCAGTTTAAAATGTATCTCTTGCCCTTTCGTGGTTATAAAGGAAGGTTTGGTTCCCATGTTGAAAATGACGAGCCAACAAGACAAGATATACTCTAAAAGCTGATTTGCGTTTGCATTTCACTTTTATAATGACAATATTAGACAAAACCAGCCACCTTCCGCGGTGGTGGTAGCTATTCGGAGTCATATGAAAAATACGTACAGGTAACAACAAAGTCTATCCACCCATTCTTGCACCTGAAGTTCAGCCTTGCATTAAACAAGGCCTGACCGCAGAAATTCGCAAGCTTGGCCATTGAAAAATGGGACAATAAGCATATGGGGCATCCAATCCACCATTGATAGCATATCAGAGCTGGCACTACCTTAATTCCTACTCGCTGCGCTGGAGACTACGATTTCAACCAGAGTAATAGTGGCGAAAAATTAAAGCTTTGGCGAGGCCATTTTGTTCCGCACCTGCTTTGACTGCATGTACGGAAAAGTGTCCGCAGTCCTGGCACCATTTGTAAAACATTTTCAAGTATCATCGTTGCGTTCCAAGAGAATATGGTAGCAGTCAGTAAGGTACGAAGGTACCACACTCCAACTTTTGAATTCCCACCAGCAGATTTGACTGCTCCAACATCCAATGGCGGACCACTGGTATGTCGAATTAACTTCAGGGATTACTGATTTCCCTGGAAGTAGGCAGAGAGTTGTCCCTGATGAGCTGGCGTAGTGTAACTATTAAGCCAGAGGTGCGCATTCGCAGAGGCGATTGTTGGTTCATAATGCTTCCCGACGTATGGCCATTATAAGCAAACGATGCGGCACCGACTCCGAAGAATAGTGAAGAACCTCTCCTCAAAAAGATGGCACCCTCGCGAAATTGCTGGCGACTTTTGTGGTGGTTGGATACACAAATTTCACAGAATTCCGATGTCTAATTATCAGTATCTTGCGACCTTGATATTTCAGAAAAGAATATTTTAATTCTTCCAAAAATTATGTCAGCCAATAAAAGGAAATAATTTCGTGACTAGGAGGCCTGTAGGATTCGCTTTGGATTGCACCGTTTAATCCCAATAGAATCGCAAGACGTTGCAATAATTTTCCGCCACAAACTTTTACTGTTATATGCCAGAGTATAAAGCTGCCACTTTTTTGCTGTCAAATAAAATTGTCTTACCGACCACTCGACGACAAAAACTTACTAGCACAAAAAAAAAACAACTATTATTCATTGGAACGGAGCTGAGAAACAGCAGTGCAGCGTCATGCGCTAGACGATTTATGAATATGTATGTATGCATGAGTATGTGGTGTGTTTGTGTGTGTGTGGAACAAATGCAAGTTGATTGGCAATACACAAAGGGCCAAACGTTTAATCCGGTCTTAAAAATGTCGTTCGTAAGCTATTTGCGGTGAACAGCAATGCAAGCAAGACACTTTGGTTTAACGCCTTGCGCCCTCTTATCCACTTTTCAACGTTTTCTTTTTATCCCCCTCGCACATCAGCATCATCACTAATTCAATGCTATCTAAGCGCTTTTAAACATCTCAGGAGCTCAGCTTCAAAGCTTCGTTGGTTGTCTGACATGGCCTGTGGGAATTTCACTATTGTGGCAACAATCGGCAACACACCTACACACACAGGCCGAAAAAACCTCAAAAACAGCAAATAACAAGCGACAAACGCCAGCTCAGCCAGCCAGCTTCAATGAATGGAAGACGGTGAGACTACTACACCTACACAGACTACATATCTTCTGTGTGTCGCGAGCGCTCGCACATTTTGTTAGCGTCAAAGGAGTGAATGCGAATGTGTGGCGGCGTTGTGTAGTGGGTGGTAAGAGACGCTAACGCTGCTAGGCGAGCAAGTTGAAATTCGCCAGATTTA